GCTGTTCCCGCTACCTACATCTTCCTTCCACGTATGTACACCACTGCTCCGTACCACTCTGGACTCAAGTTTAAATGCCACCTCCTCAGAAAGAGTCCTACCTGGTCCAAATTCTACCAACTCGCTCGTCCATAACTCTTCGTTATCACCGTCTGGGACTCTTCACGAGAGCTCACCCTCAACACGTCTGCAGCAGCCACTCCCTCCAGAGCCTTACAGTATTTTCCTCTGAGCACTAACCTTAGCCCTATTTATCTTATCTGCTTGTTTGCTTTTGCATTCTGTTTCCCAGAGGAGCCTTGCGGGATGGTTAGGGACAGGGAAGAAGGTGTCTGTCTTGTTCAGGGCCTTATAGTGGAACTCAATAAATGAATGAAACCCCAGTATTTAAAACAGTGCCTAGCACATGTTTGGACTCCACTACTCTTTGACCGAATGCACCCTCCTGCCTGTCCTGGAGAGCAGGCCTGGGGGAGGGGGAACTTCTGGGATGGGAGGCTTGTCCTCCATTCTACATCGAGCCCTGTGTTGGTGGAGGTGGCGCTGGCAGACATTACCTGCGCCTCACCGGCTTCATGCAGCTCTTCAGCTGCCTGGCCTCAGCCTCCACAGGACCCTGGCACTCAGGCTGTGGCTCCAGCTGCTGCAGCTGCTGCTGCTGGGGCAGCCCTTCAGCATCAGTGGGTGTGGGAGCGGGTGCGATCCGGAGCAGGACAGTGTAGTTGCGGCCATGGTTGTTGGCCCAGAAAGTGCCCTCGGGGGTCTCATAGCGCACCACGAAGTCGAGGCGCGCCCCATCGCCCGCGCCCTCAGCAAAGGGCAGCTGGAAGGCAAAGCGGTCAGTGCGGCCCCCGTCGTCGGGTGAGGAGGCAGACATCTGGCCAGGGCCCAGGCCTAGACCCGGATCCAGGAGGGGATCTCCTGCTCCTACTCCTCCCACTCCTGCCCCAGGCGGGCTGCGTGGGACATAGCGGGCTGGGTGGTCGCAGAAGGTAGCCCAGCCGTCGTGTGAGGCCCGCACGTGCACCGCCTTCTCGAAGGAGCGGTTCAGCACGCGCACCAACCCGCGCACCACTGGCGGGCGCCCCCCAGGCACCCACACCCCGGAACCCCCGGGAACCGCTCCAGGAGGCGGCAGTAGCGCCTCCAACTCCACCATCACGCGCCCCAACCGCTCCAGACGGCCCGGCGCAGGCGGCAACGAAAATGTGGGCACCAGGTAAAACCCCCCGCCAGCGGGAACGGGGCACAGCGGAGAGGGATCGGGAAAAGCCTCCTCTTCCTCCTCCCCTTCATCCCCATCCTCGCCATCGTCGTCCTCATCAGCCCCGCCACCGCCGCCATCTTGCCCGGTCGCCGCCGCCATCTTGCCCGCCCCGGGCCCGCCCCACGGCCGGTAGCGGCGAAGCTGCGCCAGAGGCAGCCCCAGGGCCTCGTCAGCGAACAGCACCCTCCGCGGGGCCACCGCTGCCTCAGCCGAGGCGCGGGGCTCTCCCGCAACCGGCGATGGGGGCGCGGGATGCCGCAGCGGTGGCTCCACAGGGGCCGTGCGCGCCATATCGGCGGCGGCGGCGGCGGCACCGACGGCACCGGCGGTGGGACCTACGGGGGCAGGGCCTGAAAAGGCGGGCAGCCAATGAGAACGCCAGAACCGGGGGGTGGGGCTCCAGTGGAGCGTAGGCGGCAAGATAAAGACAGGTACGGCCAGCAGCCAATGGACAGCCCCGCGGGAGTGACGTAGTGGTGACTGACAAGCAGAAGAAGCTAGCAACCAATGAGGACGCCCGAGTGTGGGCGGGATGGGAGGCGGGATGATAACGGAATCAATGGAGAGGCCTGAGTGGGGTTAATGCGGGACCGAAGATGAAGCTACCAGAAGTATGACAGTTAGCGGGAAAGTCTGAGCACGAGCGGCATGGTGGACAGCGGGAAGATGAAATGGCTACAGGCGATGGGGGCAGCGGGGAGCGAACCCGGAGGTCCAAAAACTGGGAGATCCGCAGGTTGCGTAGGCGGTGAGACATAAGAAAGATAAAAAGAACAGCCAATGGAGAACTGCACGCGAATGATGTAGAGACAGAATGACGATAATGGTTGCAATGAGCCAATGGGGAGTCTTGTGAGCGCACACTATGGCTTCAAGAGGCGGTAACAGGGTGGATCTAGCCAATACAGAGAGTGAACAGAGGCTGGAAGACAGTGTGTGAGCAGACACAGAGGCGGGACTGTAGCGGGGGTGGGGGGAGCACTAGGGCATGTGAGGAGTGAAGGTGGGGACAAGAAAGAGATGGGGAGCCAGGGGTGAAGGCTGTGATATCTCAAAGGACAGTGCTAGTATGGGATTAACCAAAGCCGAAGCTAGAAAAATGTAGCTGGAAAGAAACTTTGGAGGCAAGATGGGAAAGCACACTCAAGGATGGTAGTGTGGGTGCTGTGAAGGAAAGCGTGAGTAGGCAATAAATAGGTTACAGTGGAAGAAGGTGCACAGACTGAGCCTGAGCTATTGAGTGATTGAGCACAGAATCAGAATTCAGACAATAACACCAGGCCTCTGGGGTATGGCTTTACCTTTCCCTAATCTTCCACGACTCCCCATGGCCCCACGAATTCCTAGAGCCCCTAAAAGCCCAGACTGTATTGTGAGACCAAAGCAACACAGTTGTCCTATCCGTTCCTGGGTGTGTCCTGCCGGCCCCACACCACCACACACACCTCCTACCCTTTTTGTGACCAATGCAACTAGCCAAGAACGTTCTTGACTGTTCCTTAGAGTCCTCAGTTGAGCGCTGATGTTCTTCAGGACTTGGCACCATGCATGAATAGATCACAAAATAGGAAATAGAGCCTTTTTTTTTTTGAAGAATTAGCTTTTTCTAACTCACACTTAGTATACATTGACAGTATGTCATCACGAGTTGATCAGCTAATGTAAGTTCAAATCAGAGTCCTGCCCTTCTTGTTCATTTTGACACTTTGCACCCCACAGTGGCTTTCTTTCCCCCTTTCCCCATCTCCTCTGTTCAGAATGCTGTCCCATCTGTTTCCTTTATCTAGTGGATTCTTTTCATTCTCCCTCTGAGATCGCAGCTCCTATGGGAATGGACTAGATTTTGCCAGAATGTTCATTCACACATCCCCCACTCCGATTTAGTAACTTATTAGGACTGTCTGCCATATGCCAGCTTCAGGGAGTACTTTTATCTAACCCTCATAACACCCCTAACAGGAAGGCCATCCCTTGGCCCTCATAGTCTCTCTGTTCCCCCTGTCTGTGTCCAGGGTCGTGAAAGGAATATGTCCAGCTACAAGTAGCAGAAGAATAATGACATAATGAAGGTAGAATTTTTTTTCTCATCTGAAAGTTTAAGGCAGCAAGTGATCTCAGGACTCCATCCTATCTGGCCATTTTAGGTATCACCTGTGTCCTGGTCTTGCCTCAGAGTCTCATTCTTCAGCAAATCCTGTAGGTTATCTATCCAAAGCACTTCCCAAGCAGGATATGGTGATGTATGCCTGTAATTCCAGCACTCAGGGTGCTGAGGCAGGAGGATCACTGAATTCAAAGCCTAGGCTGCAAATGTGACCTTATCTAAAAAAATAAAAAGGGTTAGGTGCAGCTCAGTGGTAAAAACCACTTCCTAGCAAGTGTATGGGCCCCGTCTCTAGCATCATTTTTTAAAATCCCAAATCCACCTTTTCACTACCACTCCATCAACAGGCTCAGCACCAGTGCCAGTCCCCAGTGCCAGTCCCCTGGACTACTGCAGTCGTCTCCTATCCCCTGTGCCATATTCAGCCATCTAAGAGAGCCTCTTAAGTCCTAACAGTAATGCCTCTCCTCTGGTCCCAACACTCCTCTGGCTTCCTCTACACTTAGAGGAAAAGCCAAACCTTCACCATGTCATAAAAGGCACAAGCCAACTAGTCCCTCTCTGACCTTACCTCCTGTTCCTCTCCTTTCCACTCATGTCACTCCAACCACACCAGACTCCTGGTTAACTCTGTAAAGATCCAGCACACTCGGCTCAGGGCGTTCACACTGACCCTTTCCTCCCAGCTCTGCATATCTTCTCCCCATGGCTCTCTTCCTCGCCTATGCCTGCTCTTTGTCAAAGATCCCTTTCCCTGGGGACATTGCCCTTGACCTGCTAAATCCTGCCCATTCATCATCAATTCCTAGCCCTCCTGGTCCTCTTCCCCAGAAACCTATGTGAGCCAATACAGTGATGATGGAGAGGAGAGAGCACCCTCTGACAAGCAGACCCCTAGCTACCATGCTGCAAAGACCCTGCCTTTATGCTCCGGTAACCTTAACACTCCCACATCCACAGCCCCACTCAAGTAGCCTCCTGGAAATCTGTGTCACTTACCCCTCATTCACTTTTCCTGCCACCTCTCTGACCAAGCTTTCTCACAGAGTGGCAGGAAGATGGTGACAAGGATATAAAGAAGGATGCAGACCAGACCATGAACCCTGAGAAGATGAGTGCCTATTCTAAAAAGAGACTGGTGCCAGGGCAGGAGACTAGAACTGTCTCAGAGACAAAGAAGATACAGGGACTAGTTGGGCCCAAGCATACAGGGAGCAGGGAGCAGTAACTTTGGGGCATAGCTCCAGTCAGCTGGCCAAGACTCCCAGTTAGGTACGCTCTTCACTCCTCCCCTACCCCTCCCACACACAACCACAACTGTTAAGCTCCTAGGATCCATGCGGACCTCCAAAGTAAAAGAACCTCATCCCACCTCTGTCCCTCCCTCCCTCTCAACTCAGGACCTCCCCCAGCTTCCAGCCACCACACAGGCTATGTTTGGTCTTAGATGTGTCCCACCAACTTAGAAGCCCCAACCAGTGAAAGTTTTGCTTTGAGCTAATAGTAGGAAGGGTTGAGGTTTTTTTTTTTTTATTGTTGTTGTTGTTGGCTGGTATTTTTAGGTCTTTTTTTTCTATTCATTTTTTTCACTTTGTTTTCCCCTCTTGTCTTTATAAAGCCAGGCCATCAGTTCTAGTCTTCTCTTTTCCAAAAAGGTGAGTTAAGATGAAGAAAGCCACTCTCTTTTGGGGGGAAGGCTCAGAGGATAGGGAGAAGGAAAAAAAAGTGGCAAATGAGGGAAAGAGCAAAGGAGTGTGGGTATTGTCCACTAGGTTAGCATCATGTGAATAAAAACTTATTTCTACTTTCTCTTCCTCAGGCCTGAAGCCAGTCTTGTCAAGAGGTTGCGGTGGACATGCAGCTGGATACCTGGAACTCTTAGCTCTGCAGGATGCCAGGACACCAAAGGCTGGAAGCCTTAGCCTTGCCTTGTCAGGAAAAATCTGTGGAGGCCGCTCTATGTTAAGCAGTGGTTACAGGGAGCAGGTTGGTGCCAAATCGAGGAAATGCACCTGCCAAATCTTGAATACAAACCTTAAAACCTCACAAACATCAAGCTTCAGAAGAGTCTCCAAGTCCTAAAACTTCCCTGCCACCGAATCCTAGAAATTAGAACCTGACACTGTTGGCTTCAGGAAAACTGATCACTTCAGAGCCCAGTGCTACGGACCCCTATTTTTCAACTTTGTGATCATGAATAAGCTGCACCTCCATTTTGCCCATCGGTCTAATAGCAATACAGTCATGATGAGATGGACCTCAAAGGGTGAGAACTGAACACAACTGTTTAAGAGAAGTGTTCGGCTCTGTCTGAGATGTAGAAAATTCTAGATAAATGTTGGCTGCCAAAATTATGATGGCTGTTTAGAATCCTAAACCTTTGCAAACTGGAGCTTTTCTTTCCTTCTGTTGTTTGTGGGTTTTTTTTTTTAACACAGAATCTGGCTATATAGCCCCAAGCAGCCTTAAACTCTTGATTCTTCTGCCTCGGTTTCTGGGGTGCTGGGATTACTGGTGTGTGAAACTGGGGCTTTTCAGAGTAGAATGTTGCAAAGTTTAGAATCATCGGGATATGGTTATATTGTTCCTGACAGGACAGGGACCCTGGGCTGCTTTGTGTATTTTTTTTAATAACCCCGAGCCTTGTGCATGTTAAGCAAGCACTCTGGCACTGAGCTGCAGGGCCAGCCTTTCCTCCCTAGCCCTTCTTAGTGATAGTGGCTTCATTAGCAGCCGTTAGGGCCGTTCCCAGGTGGGTGGCTGCTGGATCAGGGTGCTCAAGCAGAAACATGATGTGGAGATACTTTCCTCCTCCCTCAAAGACTCTCAACAGATTCTGGGAGCCAGCAATTCTGAGACTCTTTGATTCTGTGAATTTGTGGGGGGAGTACAACCCACTTTTTTCTCCATGAATTGCCTTCCATGCCTCTTGACTTCTATGGGAAGAAAGGCTCCAGGAATGTCCAGGTCTCCCATGCCTCGGCAACATAAACGGTGGTGGTCATACTAACGCTCCCTAAGGAAACACTGAGGCTTGGAGCGGAATGAGGCCTCTGAAGATCAAGCACTATCCCATCTCACCCTTTGTTGCTTCCCAGTCACATGGCAGGCTTCAGATCCCTTCCTCTGTTCACCCCAGCGATCCCCAAACCTCTCACGCACAGAACGGTGTCTCTACCTTCTCTACCTGCCCCGGGATGCCTTTGTGATTTGACTTATTTTCCCTCAGTTTTTTTTTTTTCTGACTCTACACACTTTTGTTTAAGCAATTGTGGTTTCTCATGAGCCCTGTTATCTCATTGATACCTTTTACCTCTGTGGTGAGGGGAAGAAATCATATTTTCAGATGACTTGTAAAGGGCAAAGAAAAAACCCAAAATTTCAAAATTTCCGTTTAAGTCTCATAAGAAAAGAATAAACAAAGCGAGAGAGCAAAGAAGAAAAAAAAAAACAAGAACCCCCCCACCCTGCGATTATCAGCACACACACTCACAAAAAAAAAAAAAAAATTGGATTATTAGAAGAGAGAGGTCTGCGGCTTCCACGCCGTGGTTTTTCTTCTCGGTATAAAAGCAAAGTTGTTTTTGATAATGTGGCAGTTTCCCACAAGCCAGGCTGATCCCTCTCTATCAGTCCACTTCACCAAGGTGAGTGTCCCTGCTCTCCCCCACCAGACACAGCTCTGCTGGACAAACTGTTGGGGAAGTAGGGGGTGTCAGGAGCCCTCCAGTACAGCTGGAAACGCCCGGCCACTCCAGGTAAGGACTTTTAAAAATAATAACACTCATCCTGAATGCCAGAGAGGTGGAGCAGTGGGTCCTTAGACAGGGGCAAAACGAAGTACATTGATTGTTTGATACACAGATAGACAGGATTTTTTTAACGTTGTCTATCAACTGTTGGTCTCCATGAATGCTGGAGCTTTGGACAACTCAAAATGTTGTCCAGCTAGAACTAGAAACTAGAACTGCATCTCTTGTTTCTTTTCCCTCTGCTGTCCACCATTTCTTCTCCTGCCTCACTCTGCTTCTTTGCCTGTCTCTGTCTTTCTCCCTTTGGTGCCCAGCCTCTGTCTGTCTTTCCCAGGCTCTGGCTATATTCCTGTCTGTCTCTTCCAGACTGGTCACCCACGTTCTATTTCTTTCCTCCACCTCTCTGACTCTTGGCTCACCTTCCTTCAGCTGCCTTTCTACCCGGTATCCAGCACAGAGATTTGTACACCACTGGCACTTAATAATAATGGCTTAAGAGCTCTATTTTCCAGGAATGGGCATCAGTTCTGTGTGTCTTAGGACGATTGTGAGCTGTCTGGTCAGTCTTAGCATTTAACTGAACTGCTTGTGTCACATAAGAGAACACTCTCGGTCAATCACAGTTTAGCAAAGGACTGTAAAACTGTGACCAGAATCCATGTCCAAGGAGAGCAGGCAGTTCAGGACTAGAGTGAGCTGGTCTCTGCACTATGCCTTGTATATGGTAAGTTCTCACTGTCTGCTGTTAGTATTTTTAAACGAATTAGAATCATGCTGTATATTGGGTTTGTTTCTGCTTTATTCAAGCAATACCATTTTTGTAGCATACTAAAAAAAATGAACATGTGATATTTTATGCCTGCCATGAATTTTGATTGCCTGAATTAAGTGCTGATGGTGGAACATTTGGGTTTCTTCTGATTCCAAAAATCCACACCTGACTGCCTAGATCCTGAAAAGGAGAGCAGCTGGGGAAGAAGAGGTGTGCCTCTGAATGGGTTTTGTTCTCTCGTCAAACTGCTTTTCCAAAACATTGTCTTCTTTTCTGATGTTTCTATTCATGCTGATTTTAGGTGTGTGTTACCATTTGTAATCCTTCCCCATCGTAAGAAAAATGACACTGTTAAATTTTACATTTTGGCTCATTTTAATGACCACTGGCCACTTGTGCTCTGTGGGCTCGAGTTCCATGATCAGGTTCTTTGTCCTACTACAGTGCTCAGGCTTTTTCAAAATTGTCAATAGCTTTAATTTGGAAAAGATAACTTTCTATTGGCTATGTGTATATGGCACACATTTCCCTGAAATTCATCATTTGTGTGTATGTGTATTTTAATTGTATTCATTTACTTAGTTTATGGGCATGCATGTTTCCCCTACATGTGCACCATATGTGTGTGCCTGCCCACAGAGGCCAGAAGATGGTGTGGGATCCCATGGGACTGGAGTTACAGATGGTTATGTGGGTGCTGGCGCTTGTGTGGCTTCTTTCCATGGTTTTGTGTTTTAAGTCTTTTGCCACTTGAAAATGAGAAGCTACCTCCTCTAGAAGAGCAGCCAGTGCTCTTACCCATGGAGACATCTCTCCAGCTCTATTTGTGTGCTGGGGGGAGGGTGTTTTGAGACAAGGTCTCACTCTATAGCCCTGGCTGGCCTAAAACTCCCTGTGTAGACCAGGCTGACCTCAAACTCACAAAGGTTCATCCATCTGCCTCTGTCTCCCGAAGGCTAGGATAAGAGACATACGGCACCACACCTGGCTATCACTTGCTTTTTCCCATTTATTGTGCTTTGTAATGCACGTGTCTTTTATGTATTCAGATTACTCTTTTCTGGTGTGGTTTCTGTCTATGGTTTTGTGTTTTAAGTCTTTTGCACTTGAAAATGAGATAACTTTTCACCCCATGTTGGCTTCCAGTCTCCTCTATGGCTTCATTTTTTCCATTTACTGTAGAGGTCAAAAGTGTGGGTACGGGAGCCAGACTGTCTGGAACAACCTAGCCTCACTTCAAGTCATCTGTGTGAATTTTAACCAGGCACTTAGCCTCTCTGTACCTCCATTTCCTCGTATGTACTGTGATGATTATAACAGTACCTACCTCAGAGGGTCTTTCTGGGGATTATATCTATTAATCATGATAGATGCTTAGCACAAAGCCGAACACAACAATGATAGACATTAAAATGTATCTCTTTAATGGATCTGGAAATTACTCTAGAGCATCTGATGACAGTGACATTTCAAGTGGGCAGAGAGGTATTGGTGGGAAAGTGGGCTATCATTCTACCCAGTCACTTTATTTTCCCCTAACTGTCTGAGAATCGTTTGGTAATCTGTCCTGCACTGTTCCTCATGTTGAAATGTGTTCATCACAAATTCCATTCCCTCTGTGCATAAGTCTCTGCCAAGGCTTTCTACTCTGATCTTCTCAGTGTTTATTCCTGTACAAAGCCCACACTATTCTTCTGATGTTACTTTGCAAATCAATTCAATACCAACCATGAGTGTCTCTGACACCTAGCAGTATTAGTCCTCCAGTCAGAAGCCAGGGATTATTTGGATCAATCTTCTCTCTCTCCCTCTCCATCTCCCTCTCTCTCTGTCCTATGTCTCGTTCACTCTTTTGTTCATTATTTCTCTATCACTATTCCTCTAAACTGCTCACATTGTCTCTCTCTGTGCTTTATTCCTATTCCATCTCATGTCTCTCTCTGCATCTCTATCTGTATCTCTTCTATACCTGTATTCACACACACACACACACACACACACACATATGTGTGTGTATGTATATATAGTATATTACATACATACATACATACATACATACATACATATGGATATATACATATATATCCATAAGATATCCATAAGATTTGCCCCAGACACAGGACAGAAAGATTCCAGCCTTCCTCCATGCCATTCTCTTCCCTCCCCAGTCTAGAAGGGCAAACTGGGCTCACAGATGAGCAGGAAGGCCCCTCCAAGGCCTCACAGAGATGTTGTGTTAGGATTAAACCCAAGATCAGACCTCAGAATTCTCAGTTGGACCTTGGCTCTGTCCATCCTCCATTGCAGGCCTCAGTTTACCTCTCAGTACCCAGGAGGCAGTTAACAGGAGACCTGAGGTGCCATTCCCTCTGTACCTTCTCACGAGTTGGATTCAGATTTACACAGGACACTCCATAATCATGGCATGGGGCCAAGCCGCACAAGCTCTGGCCTGTGTGAGGTTCTGGGCCCCATGAGTCAGAAGCCCTAGCTGACCAAAGAATACTAGTAACGATGGAGAAATATCAGTTAGGTATGAGCCCTCTGGGTTCCTTCGGACCACCATTATGGGGGCCTTCCTAAAAGCCTGGTGGTGTGCTCTTTCCACGAGGGCCAGGTCAAATGTCTTCCTCTTGTCCCCATATCTGGAAGAATCTTATGATTTGGGGAAAGTTGTCCCAGGAGAGCGGGTCTGGAGCCATATGTAAGTGGCCATTTATTTATCAGTCACTGACATTTGCTCACCATTTTGTATGCACTAACTTTGCAAGATGGCTCCTGTTACTGTCCCAAATTAGAAAAGAGGACAAAAAGACCCCGGCCTTCCTCCATCCTTCTTCCCTCCCCAGTCTAGAAGGGCAAACTGGGCTCAAAGATGGACACAAAGACCCCTTTGTCCCAGGAGGGCAAAGCCTGGCCCCAGATCAGGACAGTAGAGGGTTTTCCAATCCTCTGCCTTAATGGAGTGCAGGAGGGAGGCTGAGGAGAACATGCAGGCATTCCAGACCCAGCAAGAGGCCTTATGGAGTTTTTAAGCTTCCTGGCCTTAGGTGGTACCCACTTCTTTGGGCTCTGGAACATTGATCCACATAGTGAGAAGGTAGATCCATGCACCCTACAGAGTCTGTGTTCTTGAGATTCTGAAATCCGTTGGCCCCACAGAAATGATATCCTACAGTTCTGAGTTTCTGTTACTACAGCATTTGAAGACTCAAAGGGGTCTCAATATCTATGAGGCCTGCCTAATACTCACCAAGCATCCAACCTTGGGCCCCTCTGACATCCAAGACAGAAAATCTATAGAACTTGGGTTTCGCATGGTAGCCACATGGACGTCACCTACCACATCCGCTAGCACCCACCTCACCCTACCTGGGCCTATCCGGCTACAGGATAGACTAGCCACTTCTCGGAACGAAACCTGTGGGGTGGGTTATCTGCCCCCTTCTCTTCCTCCGTGTTGCCGATGAAGCCCAATGCATCCGGCCGCCATGACGTCAATGGCAGAAAAATCTGGCCAAGTTGGGGTTGTGACAACAGGGCCCAGATGTAGACCCCGATAGGAAAACATATTCTATGTCCCAGAAACAACCTCCATACAGCTTCTAAGAAATAGTCAAAAAGGAACGCCCCAACAGACAGTGCAGGAAGCTGGCTGGCCAGCCCAGCCCTCCAGGTCCCTAGTACCACTAGACAGACCATATCCAATTCAGGTCCCCTTTCTGAGAATGTACTGATGCTTCACACAGTCACACCAGATGTATTTAAGAAAGAGATTTCTTATAAGTTCTGAACAAATATACAGAGCGCTTCAAAAGTGACCATGGTCCAGCCATGTGGGCTAAGCCAGTATAGTGGAAAATTCTACTCACCAAACTTGATACACATTTGCCTGGGCTACTGTAATGAAGTATCACAAACTGGGTGAGTTACATAGCATAGAATTATCATGTTATAATTCTGGAGTCTATAAGACCAAGATGAAGATGTCAGCAGGGTTGGTTCCTCCTGTAAGTCCTGACCTCTTCATTTCTGATGCTTTCCTTTGCTGTTCTTTCTTGGAGAAGCATCACCTCATGGCTGTCTGCCTTCAGTCTTTCAGCTCATCGCATCACGGTTCTAGGAAGCCAGTCTCAGCCTCCACAGATCCAGACTCTTCTTTTCATGCTGTTTTAACCCATGACACACTAGTCTTACTACCTAGGTTCTCATATGAATCTCCCTCAGCTCTGATGAGCCCGACATGATAGCAAAGAAGATGCAATTGCCTTCCAAAACTCTTCCATGTTTCCCCAGGCTGTTTTCAGAAGCTATATACCCAACTCATGTAGTATAGTAGAACAGAGAATGGCATATTCAAATGCACACATACACAGAGCAGGGGAAATGTAGATATATATATATATACTTCCTAGAGAAAGATGAGGCAGGATCAGCCTGAAATTGTGGCTTGTAATCCCAGTACTCAGAAGGCAGAAACAAGGAGTTCAGAGACAGCCTGGGTATACCGTGAGTTCCAGGCTAGCCCAGGCTACATGAGACCCTATCTAAAAAGAAAAGGAGAGCCCAGGCTATGAGAAGACTATAGAATTCTGAACCTGGCTATCCTCTTAATTAAAATGAGGGTAGAATTCTATAGTCAGTTCAAGATCTGGTTCCCTCTCTGACTGGAACTATAGGATCCTGAAAAACGAAAGCCACTCTCTTAAGAGACTGTAAGGTACTGGGGCTCAGCACAGGGACCTGGGTCACCGTGTAGGGCTTTGAGAAGGAAATCAGAAGACTGCATTATGGCTAAGGGAAGAAGAGGTGGCAAAGGAATTACAAGCTTGAAGGGCAGAAATTGTGGCTAGTTTGAGGAGCTCCCAAGGACCCTGGATCAAGAAACCCTGTCCCTCTTTTTTTCTGGCACCTGTCATGCCAACTCCATACCAGACAAAAGCTTAGAGAAGATAGACCCATGCTGTGGCCCTGAGCTCTGCAGTGCTGAATTCAGCTATCTACCTGCAAGTCCACCGTGCATCTCCTGCTTACCTTTGCATCAAGCCACATCTGACTATCACTGCAAAGTCTGCTCCCCTGTCCTCTACCCTCCATCTCCAGTAATGCCCGCTACCATAGCTGCTTATGCCAAAAACCTAGACGTCATCTTGACCCTTTCTCTCATCTCCTCCATCCAAGCTTCCGGCAACTTCTGACTCTGCCTTCAAACGAGACTTGGAAGACAGCCGCGTCTCAGCAGCTCCTCTGCCGTTATCCAGGTTGGTAGCAGCAGCACCACTCGCCTCACTATGGCGGTAGACTTCCTACTAGTACAGTTCCCTGGAGCCTTCCCACTCGTGGCATCCAGCTGAAACTTTGGAGGCCATGCCCAAGTCACTGAAATAAAATGATGGGAAGAGAGTCCAAGACAAGCCCCAGCAGAATCAGCAAAGACTGTGTGGCCTGTGCAGAATGCAGGGGCCACTGGAGGGCTGACGTCACACAAACTAACTCCCACTGCCACACATTTGCTGTGTATGTAAGCAAGGGAGGTGCTGGATATGTCATGTGTGGGATATATACATCTATGTCCCTGCTATCAGGGTAGCGTATATGTTTGTAAGACAGACCAGAGGTATAGTTATGGGGCCCTTTGGGACAGATCCCAGGCAACACCTACTCTGACCAGAGGCTATCTGTAATGCTTCAAGTGGTTGACTGTCTAACACCACCCCTGGAATGCATGTCACTCCACTCCACTGTTGTCCCTGCAGCCTGCCTCTGACAAGAACCCAATGCCCAACCCCAGGCCAGCCAAGCCTATGGCTCCTTCTGTGGCCCTTGGCTCATCCCCGGGAGTCTTGCCAAGCTGGAAGACTACACCTAAGGGCTCAGAACTCCTAGGGACCAGGGGTCCTGGGGGACCCTTCCAAGGCCGGGACCTGCGAAGTGGGGCCCACACCTCTTCTTCCTTGAACCCCCTGCCACCATCACAGCTGCAGGTGAGGCCCGGGGCCCAGAATGGGGCAAGCAGGGTGGGGTACTTGGGCCTATAGGTGTCGACCTTTACTGTAGCATGTGGCAGGAGGGGGGGGCTGGCTGGGGCACAGGAAGTGGTTTATGGGTCCCAGGCAAGTCTGACTTATGCAGATACTGCAGGGCCGAGAAAATCCCCACTCTCCAGGCTTCAGAGATTCGAGGCTTTCCCCACGGCTCCTAATCCTTGTCCTGATAGGAGACCTTATTATGATCCCAGGGGCATAGCCATGTTTCTTCATCCCACTGTGACAAGAAGCTGGGGCCCAAGAAGGTAAGGTAACAGTGTTAGGGCCAGCACTACCCCTTGTAACTGTTTGACCTTGATGAAGTCAGTCTCCATGAGCCTCAGATTCCACATATGTGAACTGGATATGTCCATAGTTCCTACCGTGTGAAACTTTAGTGAAAAGCTGATGAATGAGACACAGAACTGTGAACATGGCATCTCATGGTATCTCCCTTCTCCCTCCAGCTGCCTACGGTACCCCTAGTCATGGTGGCACCCTCTGGGGCCCGACTAGGTCCCTCACCCCACCTGCAGGCACTTCTCCAGGACAGACCACACTTCATGCATCAGGTATGGAATCGGAACAGGCTGGGAGGAGGGAAAAGCAGAACAGCTGTGGAGCAGACCCCCAAGCCCGGCTGAGCCTCAGTCCATATGTGTTCATCAGGTCTCCACTGTGGATGCCCATGCCCAGACCCCTGTGCTACAAGTGCGCCCACTGGACAACCCAGCCATGATCAGCCTCCCACCGCCTGCTGCTGCCACTGGGGTCTTTTCTCTCAAAGCCCGGCCTGGCCTGCCACCTGGTAATACCGTCATAGTATCTCCAAGTTCTCCAATCTTTAAACATATACAATGGAAACTTTTCTGAATTACAGCCCTATGGAGGTCTAGAAGGGTCTTAAGAGTCATGGAAACTCCAACCTCCAAAAAAATGTCAGCCTTAGAACCTTGAAGACATAGAATGTAAAAAAAAAAAAAAATCACAAATTGCTATCACTAGTCAAAATGCCATCACTTACCAACGGGCCATCTTTAGGCTGCTACATCAGACTGTGGGGAACAGCAGAGTCCTATGAGACAGAGTCTTCAAGGCTCAGGAAGGGGAGGGGCCTTCTGGGACAAGCTATAGAGTCTGGCCTACAGCTCCAGAAGTACCCTGTCTCTACCCACAGGGATCAATGTGGCCAGTCTGGAATGGGTGGCCAGGGAGCCAGCTCTACTTTGCACCTTTCCACGCTCGGGTACACCCAGGAAAGACAGGTGACTTGGCAGGGCTGGCAACCCCCCCACCTTCTGCTACCCCTCTGCTGACATCCCATACTCTCCCACCCCCAGCAACCTTTTGACTGCACCACAAGGATCCTACCCGCTGCTAGCAAATGGAGTCTGCAAGTGGCCTGGCTGTGAGAAGGTCTTTGAGGAGCCAGAAGAGTTTCTTAAGTGAGTAGCCTGACCCTCCCCACGGAGTTCTGCGGTCTGAGCAAAGGTCTGGGCTGCATGCCTCAACTCACCATCCTCTCAGCGGGTGGTTAAGACTTGTAAAGGTGGGCACTCCATCCTTCCCTGTCTCTGTGATCCTCGGCAAGTTACTGGTCTCTAGGCCCAGGTTACCTCCCATGTATGAAGAGACATGATAAGAAAGCTATATGCTGATAGTTACCTTCATTTTCCACACAAAAGGATCTAAGGCCACAAAAAATTAAGGTCAGTCAAGCTCACACAGAGTGATGGATCTTGAATCTGAATACAGGTAGCCAGGTTCCAGAACCCACATGCCTAACTGCTTTGACCCGCTTCCCCTAACTAATCCTCAAATGTCTGTTCCTCTAGATGACCAGAGCTCTTTCCCCTCTGCTTTCTATCTGCCATCCCTCCCCATCTGTAGTTTGCTAATCATCCCTAACTCTTGGCAATGATGCATGTCCTGCATGGCCAGGCCTTTGCATAGGCTGTGCGTGCTACCTGAAATGCCATTCTCTATTACCTCCTTTCTAATGTCATCCCTAACACTTTTTCCAGAGGGTGGGGGTAGGGGGACACTGAGCATAGGGAAATCTCCCAAAGGGTCTAGGCTGTCCCTAAGTGGTATACTAAGCCAAGAGGCCTGACCCACCATAGTCAGCTACATGGAATCTTCTCCTTGCTCAGGCACTGCCAAGCAGATCATCTCCTGGATGAGAAGGGCAAGGCCCAGTGCCTCCTCCAGAGAGAAGTGGTACAGTCTCTGGAGCAGCAGGTAATGCCTGTGGGGTGTGGCTGAGGGGAAAGAAAGGTGTGAAGGAGGACCTTTCGAGGGAAGGCCTTAGCACAGTCAAAAGTGTGGCTAAGAAAGACCAGGAGGAGGCCTCACTTTAGTGTACATCCCCACAGCTGGAGCTGGAAAAGGAGAAGCTGGGAGCTATGCAGGCCCACCTGGCTGGGAAGATGGCATTGGCAAAGGCTCCATCTGTGGTGAGTACCCCAAGTCCAGAGGAAGCAGACGTCAACTGCTGAGGGGCAAGAGAGGAGCCCTTAAGGACCAAGTGTCCTCCCATGCAAGCCCTGCCCTGTCCAGACCATTCCCACCTCATTAATATGCCAGATCTGAAGACACGCCTACTCTGCTTACAAATCCTCTGACCTTATGACCTCCAAAACATCCTGATTCTGCCTTTTCAAAGCAATAGTAAATAGCCACATACAGAGGGCAGTGACCGCAATGCACTAGCAGCAGAACTCACAGGGGCCATTGCAAAAAAAAAAAAAAGAAAGAAAAGAAAATAGAAGGCCTTACATTCAAATTTCAAGATAAACTCAGAATATCAAACACTGTAGGGGTCCTGTGTGACCATGCATTTCACATACCCAGTCTCAGGCTGATATGAACTTACACTATAACTGAGGTAGCTACCACTATCATTCTAATGCACAAATGAGGACAACTAAGGTCAGAAAGATTTAGTTGATGCTCCCAAATTCACGGTTGGATGCTAGGGGATCCGAATTCAGCCCCTGCTCACCCCCAGCCCCAGCATCTCTGGCTTCATAGCATGCTCGTGCCTGTACTCTAATTAAGATGCTGCTTTATGGAGTTCCGCCACAGCCTGCAATGTCTAAAGGATGGTCCCCTTCTCAAGAGCATTGACCTTACCGGACACAGTGCTATGCACCTGAGCTTCTGGCTATTGGAGAGGCTGAAGGAGGGTCACTTGAACCCTTGAGCTCAAAACCAGCCTGAACAATACAGAGAGACCCTGACTCTTCTTTTTTTTTTTTTTTTTTTTTTTTTTTTTTTGGTTTTTCGAGACAGGGTTTCTCTGTGTAGCCCTGGCTGTCCTGGAACTCTGTAGACCAGGCTAGCCTCGAACTCTCGAACCCAGAAATCCGCCTGCCTCTGCCTCCCAAGTGCTGGGATTAAAGGCGTGCGCCACCACCGCCCGGCTGACCCTGACTCTTCTAAAAGACAAATAAATAAACAAGAGTTGGGGAGAAACTTCAGTGGGAAAAGTGATCACCATACAAGTATAAGGACCTGAATTTTGCTGGGTGATGGTGGCGCACGCCTTTAATCCCAGCACTCAGGAGGCAGAGGCAGAGGCAGGGGCAGAGGCAGGGGCAGAGGCAGAGAGGCAGAGAGGCAGAGAGAGGCAGAGAGGCAGAGAGGGGCAGAGAGGCAGAGAGGGGCAGAGAGGCAGAGAGGCAGAGAGGCAGAGAGGCAGAGAGGCAGAGGCAGAGGCAGAGGCAGGTGGATGTCTGTGAGTTGGAGGCCAACCTGCTCTACAGAGCTAGTTCCAGGACAGCCAGAGCTACACAGAGAAACACTGTCTTGAATACCTCTGACAAAAAAAGGACCTGAGTTTAGATGACAGCACCCACACCAGATGCAGTACTGCAAGTCTATAACTCCAGTGCACTTAGGTGGAGACAGAATTACCCAAAATGCTGTGCGTGATAGCACAGGCCTTTAATCCCAGCATCCTGCATGTATACACACATCACACACACACACAAATCAGATATAAATATAACCAAGTAAGTAAATGCAAATTTTAAAATAAAATGGGGTTGGGGGACTGGAGAGATAGCTCAGGGACCAGAGTTTGGTTCTCAGCACCCACAGAGCAGCTCACAACTATGTCTAACTCCAGTTCCAGTATGGCCAATGCACTCTCTGCTTTCTACAGGCACCAGGCATGCATGGTGCCCAGACACGAATGCAGACAAAACTCCCATACACCTAAAATAAACTGCAAGCTGATTTGGCAGTAATCTCAGCCCTTGGGAGATTTATACAGCAAGCGAGAGTTGCCCAAGTTTGAGGCCATCTTGTGCAACACAGTAAAATTCAGACTAGCCTTTACTACAGAGTCGGAGCCCACCTAAATAAGAAGCCAACCAACCAAGCCATCATTTTTTTTTTAAGTAAAATGGAAAGCTTGGTATAGTGGCATATTGTCTTTAATCCCAGCACTTGGGAGGCAGAGGCAGGTGGATCTCTGTGAGTTCGAGGCCAGCCTGATCTACAGAGTGAGTTCCAGGACAGCCAGGGCTACACAGAGAAACCCATTCTAGGAAAAAAATTTATACACACACACACACACACACACACACACACACACACACATGTAAGCCAGATGAGGTGGCACACACTTATAATCCTAGCACTCTAGACACGGTAAGGATAGAAGGTAGACCAGCTAGAGATACATAGTGAGAGTGTCTCAGAAACAAAAATGAAGTAAGACAAAAAGAAAATGAATAGGCAAACATGGAGAGACACTCAGGAAACTGAGGCAGGTAAGTCTCAGAGAGGTGCAGCCCAGTCAGGGCTATGTAGTAAGACCCTGTCAATAATAATAACTATTATTATTATTATTATTATTATTATTATTATTATTATTATTGGGTTTTTTGAGACAGGCTTTCTCTGTGTAGGAACTCACTCTGTAGACCAGGCTGGCCTCGAACTCAGAAATCCACCTGCCTCTGCCAACCAAGTGCTGGGATTAAAGGTGTCCGCCACCACTGCCCAGCTATTATTATTATTTTAAAACCAAAATGAATAGACATGAATGGGGGGGGGAGGGAGAGGGAGAGAGAGGAAGAAGGTAAGCGATGGGAGAGGAACTAGGGTAAAAGTGGTGTATTACATACATGTACAAAATTGTCTAAAAACAAATTGAATTCATAACAGAATTACAAGCTAATGTTTGAAAGGATAAATGAAATGAGCAGCTTAAATGTCTCCATCACCACGCCCTTCCCAACCCCTCAGGCCTCAGTGGACAAGAGCTCTTGCTGCATCGTAGCCACTAGCACCCCAGGCAGTGCTCTCCCACCCTGGTCTGGTCCCCGGGAGGCTTCAGACAGCCTGTTTGCAGTGCGGAGACACCTCTGGGGAAGCCATGGAAACAGCACCTTTCCAGGTCAGTGTAGTCACTACCCCATCTGATGACCCCAAGCTTCTAATACCAACTGGTACCAGGGGGTACAAAGAAGCTCCCCCATTCCTCTCACCCCCACAAACAAAGCAAGGAAACTGCACCTGAGTTTATTAGACCTAGAAGCCCCCAAAGATTACAAATGATAGCTCAAGCCCCATGTCTTTTGGGAATGGAGCCAGGCCTCACCTACTTGACACCTGCTACTTCATTTGGTCATCATGAGAGAAGGGCCTGGCTAAGTGATTCCAAAGAACCCTCTCTTCCGCCCCACCTCAAGGAAATCGGGTGGATTCGTCCAAGCTCACCAATCCTGTCCCACCGGCCTGGGTTGTGGATTTCCCAGGAACTACAGTTCTTTGGTGTCAGGCTGGCTATGCCACTTGAGCTGCATACATGCCTTTAGATGTGCAAATCACTTGACTCCTTCTTAAAGTGAGGAGAGCTATTTTAGCGGGCATGCTGCAAAGAAGAGACAGCTTATGACAGGTACTCCGTAAACAGTACCTGTATGTAAGCATAGACCTCCTCCACCCTTGGTGCTAATGAGAGGATTTCAGGCCTTGGATTCACCGTGAAGACAAAGGTGAGGTAGGGTGTGAGGAGGCCATGGGGTCTGATCCATGCCAACCTTCTGCAGAGTTCTTCCACAACATGGACTACTTCAAGTACCATAATATGCGGCCCCCTTTCACCTATGCCACCCTTATCCGATGGGTAAGCAGGGCAGCCTAGGCCCAGCAGCTGGGGGTGGCAGTGGTGGGGGAAGCTGGGAGGGGCTGCTTGCCTCCTACACTGCAGCAAGAGTGGAATTCACTCATTAACAAACCTCTGTGAGGAGCCCCAAGATGTGATCGTTCTTGATAGCTTCACCTCAGATCTATCCCTTAACCCCAAATTACTACAAGCCAGGTCAGTGCAAAGCAAACTGTAACACTAAAAACTACTCAGTCCTTTGTCCACCCCATCTCTAGCACCATCCTTGACCCCATACCTCACCCTATTCTCTCCCCATCCCCTTGACCCACAATTACAAAGCTACCACAGCTCAGAGGGCCTAGAGTAGGCTGCTCCTCACCCACAACCCGAGGAACGTGCCCCTCATGCCACCTGACTCCAACTTCCAGGCCATCCTGGAAGCTCCAGAGAGGCAGAGGACACTCAATGAAATCTACCATTGGTTCACTCGTATGTTCGCCTACTTCAGAAACCACCCTGCCACCTGGAAGGTGAGTACCTCTGGACACACTGGTGGCTGGGATGGCTCCAAGGGTGGTTAACCTGGGGCTACACATGTTGGGGAAGGAGCAGGTTGGTCTCAGACTGAGGTCTGATCAGCTCAGTGGATGACTGTCCACCCCATCCCTGTCTGGGGTCCTGTTCCTTCTTCTACAGAATGCCATCCGCCACAACCTGAGCCTGCACAAGTGCTTTGTGCGAGTGGAAAGCGAGAAGGGAGCCGTGTGGACCGTAGACGAATTTGAGTTTCGCAAGAAGAGGAGCCAACGCCCCAGCAAGTGCTCCAACCCCTGCCCTTGACCTCAAAACCAAGAAAAGATGGATGGGGGCCAAAACATGAGACTGAGGCTGTGGAGGCAAGGAGGCAAGTCGTGGACATACCTCTGGAGACCAAGCGATGATGTTTCTGCCTCTCAGGGCCTCTGCTCCCTAACTATCTGCCCCCCCCCCATCGTATCATCTGCCTTAAGGCTGAGAGGGGTGCCAATCCCAGCCCCTAGCCCCAACCTATCCCCAAAATGAGCTTTCCAGCCAAACAGCCTTCACAACCAGCTATACATACAGTCTGCCTTGGTGACTACCAAGCAGAAAGATGACACAGTTATAATACTCTCCCTTGGACTCAACCCAAACTCTAAAACACGAAGAGTCTGTCTTGGTACATCCGTGGGCTCTCAAAGTTACAGTCATGCAGTCGCACATGATTGCAGTCCTACTGACTCATCCCAGAGCACTCACCCTCAGCATCTGGAACCGTGGGCACTATCACACATACCATAGGTCTATGTGCAGACCCTTGCACAGCGGCAGCACCGGAACCTTCAGAATTACATCCCAGAAAAGCACACAGGCATAACTGATCACACGCAGCCTCAAGCAATGCCTCCAAAATATCAAGTCAGACACAGCTTGTCAGATCTCACATGTAGACATGTACACACATGAAACCCCTTCCACTGTATCTTCTGAGTTCCATGAATACACACCGACTCTCCAAAATGTACCCCATGTCTCACTTGCCACTGACCCCAGTCCCCTACCCCCAAGCCCCAATCCATGCCTAAGCGTGGCTCACAGAAGAACTTCTCTTTTATTTGGGATCCAAGGCCCCTGTCCCCAGTGCCCATCCAATAAACTGTGGTTGAGCTAAACAATGACCCTGATCAAATCTTGGAACAGATAAGCAGACGGCTGGGTTTAAGGTCCCAGCAGGAGAAAGTGGATACCAAATGGAAGAGAGTGCTAGTGCAAGTGCTTCAGCACTGTGTCCAGCACCCCCAAATTCCTGCCTGTGGTTAGGAGACATCCATCAGGGCTCTAGGCCTCTCGGACCCGGCTCAAGAGGCCAGCATTCTCCTGGCGAAGGGCTCGGTAGTCCTCACAGATCTTCTCCAGGTTGCTCAAAGTCTTCTTGCCCATCTCTGTCTCAATCTAAGAAAACAAGATGCACACATCTTTAGCCCCTGCAGGCTGCCCCTCTACTGCGCTCCTCCCTGTTCCTCCCTGCGCCTCCCATCCTCGTAACAGTGGCCTGTTCTTTCCCACCGCTGGGCTTCTGTGTGCATCCTTCCCTCCACCTAAAGCAACAGCTTCTGCCGCGGGCTCTGGGAGGCATAAGGAGCTTCAAGCTAAAAGCCAGGGCTCAGAGTAGATAACTGACTAGCTTCAGGTCCCAGGCCCAGCAAGCACTAAGGCTGAGCCTCAAGCTGTTTGTTGTCTGGTTTCAAAGACGACACAGAACAAGGAAACTATCTCCTGGCCTGTCTCCATTCCCCTTCCCATTCCCAGGTCTCACCTGCTCCTCAAGATCTCGAACTTCTCTCATGATAGTGCCTGTGTCCTCAATGGTCTGGATGAGCTGGCTGCAATTCTAGAAATAGCAAGAATACAAGGCTTGCACCTCTGCTGGCCCTCTTCAGCCAGCGCCCCCCCCCCCCCCGCACATGCCTCCCCTCACCTCATGCAGGGCAGCTAGGTATTTGTAGGCTTTCCGAACAGCATCATCCTTCTTAGCATCCTGATAAGACAAAGGGGACCTCAGATATATCAGAAAGCCATTGTCCCCTTTTCCAATGCTCTATGCCCCTATAAGACCACCCTTTACTACTGCTTTGCCTTCACCCTCCGCAGAGCAAAGCTAGGCCCAAGCAACAGTGTACCTAAAGGACCCACAGAGGGGCAAGCTGGCCCATGGGCAGACGGGCAGGCAACAGCCCAGCCCCACGTCCACCCTCCCCGAGGCCAGCCTACTCCATACCTTGAATACGAGCTCATCAGTCACTGCGAATGTCCGGTCCAGCTTCCCAGAGAGGGAGTTGATTTCCTTCTGAAGTTCTTTTGTGTCTGACAAGATCTGGCAGAAACCAGAGTAACTATCAGTCCACATCTTGGGCAACGTGGCTGACCAGTGATAACACTCATGTCCCTATACTTACATCAAGCCAGGGCCTATGTCACTGTGTTGGGGTGACTATTATGTGTTGGAGTGTGCCTTGAACAGCTCTGCCTAGTAGTAGGCATAAGGTCCCTGTGTGACTACACTATGCCTGTCTGCCCACATGAGCCATCCACCAGAGCCACAGTGACATACTTTAGTGATCTCTTCCTTCTGCTTCCGGATGTTGCCCACAATCTCCAGGATACGCTGGGTATAGGCCAGCCGGGACACATCTTTTGGCAGAGTCTCCAGCTCTGACACCTAGGCAGGAACATGGCAGACATGAGTCCAAGCCCTACACCACACCCACCCTTACAACCTAGGGCCCTGGAGTGGGCCTTACCAGCTGCTTATAGACCTCCTCCTTCCTGCGAGCATCCTCTGCAGCTGCTCGAACATTCTGGTGCAGCTCCTGGATCTCTGCCAGCCGTCGAGTTGATTCCAGCTACCGGGAACCCATAGGCCAAGGGCAGTGAGCAGAGCTCAGAAACAGACCTCTATCAAGGCAGTACACCTACAGTCATGGCCCAGGACTGTTGCCACTTACCTCCCTACATTCCTGGAGTTTTCTGAGGTGGCGGTACTCAGCAAGAAGCGGGACCCGGTGTTTCTCCCATTGACTTGCTAGATGGATGAGCCTCTGGGCACTACTCTCCACCACAAGCTGGCAGGATGAGTCAGAGGGTTATGTCAGGACAGGCTGGATCCATCCACCCACCCCTCTCCGCCCAACCCCAATCCCAGCCCACCTGCAGCTTGGCGAGGTTGGCAGCCCCATTGGGCAGCAATTCCACCGTCCTGCTCTTCAGACGCAGGGCCTGCTCCTGCTCGGCCACACTGAGTTCACTTTGTCGACACTCGGTTTCCACCTGGTACATTCACAGCCAAGCTCCCAGTCATACACACAGCCTACAACCCCAGTGAGCCCATTATGGCCCTGGCTCAGCTCAAGACCTCACAGAGAACTCCAAGGCCTCTACCCACTACAGGCCTCTGGACCTCCAGCTCTGTACTGACCCAGAAGCCCTGAGAAGCCCTGCAAGGCCCTGTCCCTACACACCCACCTTGCCCCCCTGATGCCCATAGCTTCTATGTCCCCCTACAAAGCCTGACTAATGCCAAATGCACCTCTAACAGATCTATAGGTCTAGCAAGCCATCACTCCAATATGTTTCTTTGCCTCACAAGTTCTCCTGAGCCTTCAAGAATACCAGAGGTCTCCAGGATGCTCCATAAACAACTATGGTATCTACAGACCTCTAGATGCCAGATCACCTCTCAAGGCCCCAGTTCCAACCTGACCCAGCCCAAGTCCCTCTCCCAGCCCCTCACCTGCACAAGGTTGATTCCTAGGGTCTTCATGTCAGCTTCAACCTCTTCAATGTTGTGGTTCACACTCGCCAGCTGTTCCTGAAGGGACGCTAACTCCTGCTCTTGAGCTGCCCGTGTGTCCTGAGAAGCACAGGCCAGTCTAGGTGAAGCTACCAAGTCCAGAAGACAGGCAATAGCCCAGCTGACTCTGTGTGTGTATGTGTGTCTCTGAAGACTCTGTGTGTGCGTGTGTGTGTGTGTGTGTGTGTGTGTGTGTGTATGTACGTATGTGTCTGTTTGTCTTGTTCTCCTTACCTGTTCAGGCCTTTGAGAGGTAGCTGGTACATCTGCCATCTGAGCTGCCTGGACCTGGGGCTCCTATGGGTAGAAGAAGCAACCTGGCTATCACAGAAAGTCTTATTCCTTCACAGGCCAGCCTCAAAACCCCAAAGCACCCTCAAGGACTAGACCCATATCCACTCAACCACTGACAGTTTTCAGACTGTTACTACAGGAGAATAAAGCACCATCTGTAACTGTAGATTAGAGTGCCTGACCACAAGGAAACCTCCCTGGTGCTAACCCTGACCACCCTGACCCTACAACCACCATGACCCTATAACTACCTCATGATCCTATAACCACCTCATGATCCTATAACCACCCTGACCACCCTACCCCTACAACCACCATGACCCTATAACCACCTGACCATCCAGACCCTATATCCACCCTGACCCTATAATTACTCTGACCCCATAACCACCCTGCCCAAAATGTCCACAAGAAAGAGGAGTACCTGAGGAGAAAAGATGTTCCCAAAGGAAACAAATTTCCCAGAGGAAAGCCCAAGGAAAGATGGGCTTTGTGCTGGGAGCCCTACCCACTCTTACATGAGCCCTACCTATCTGCCCTTTCTCCACTAAAGTCTCAAGAAGCTAGGGGAGCCCTCTGGACACCCTGTCCCAGTTGAAGAGGGCCTACTCAGTAGGCACCAGATCGTGTCGATAACAATGGGGTTCATACAGAAAGCAATCCTCAAGTAAGCAATCCACACACGCCCTGTCCACTCTAGCCTACCCACCAGATGGAAGGTAAACTTCTCTGAATGGGTGAAGCGGGAGCCTTTGGGCACGCCAGTCATAGCCCTAGGACCCCAGGCCTGTAGCATCTCTCCTAGGTCTCGGACTTGCGTTGGGGCTCCAAGTGGGCCCCAGCTTTGACGCAGATGTTCAAGCAGCTGCTTGTGTAGTCTCTGCTGTGGAGCCCGGGGATCCTCCTGGAGAGAACAGAGGGCAATAGGAAGGCATACCTGCTGGTCCCTAGGGGCGTGACTTCCCACCAACGCAGGTCCCCAAAGACAGAGAGGTGCCTTTCTCCACAGCTACACTTCTCTACCCAGTCACCCCTGACCCTGGGGAAGAAAGTGACTAGAGAGAAAAGTGAGCCTGAAACTTTCAAATCAGAAACAGACAGAAAGAACGGTGGATGGTGTAGAAACACCAAAAAAAGGTGCCAGGCAAAAAAAGGTCTAGAGTTGGGGACAGGACGATAAATAAAAAAGAGTTAACAGTAGAGACTGCCTCAGTGTTAAATGGTGCTAAGAAATCATTCATTTCATTCACTATAAAAACAGTACAGTGGTTCCATTAACAACAACAACAACAAAAAAAAATGTTCCTGTGAGTAATGCCACGTCTGAGTACTCAGAGCTGAAATCATGTGACAGTTTGGGTTTGCTAGGATTTGATCCTGAACACGGAACCAAGTTCGACCATGAAACTATAGTCCAAGCTTTGAGATTTGCTCTAAAACCCCAGGGAGAAAGTTAAAAGAGAATAAAAGAAAGACTAGAAGATCAGCATCACTAGAGTGATCCTTCTATATTTACACATCAAAATTCCTGTAAGCGTAAAGAAGAGACAGGATCTGGGTGTGGGGGCACAAGCTTTTAGTCTCAGCATTCAGGAGGCAAGGGGATTATAAATTTTGATGCCAGCTTGGGCTATGTAGTGAGACTCTCAAATCTCCCCCTCCCCTCCCCCAAAAAAAAAGAGTGGGCGGGGAGAGAGAAACAGTAAGCAAATGGCAACCAGGGTGGCAGGGACAGAGAGAAAGACACAAAACCAGAAGTGGACAGGAGGAAGCTGGAAAGAAGAGATCAGCAGAGTAGATATGGCGGAAGAGAGGACAGAGAAAGACATGGACAGAGGCAGAGAAAGAAAAGGAAGAAGTAGGCAAAAGTGAAACCGAGAAAGATGCAAACAGGGAGACAGAAAGCTTGATAACGAGGGGCAGGGAAACTCCAGGACAAGACAGTAACAGGAGGACATGGTGTAGATACCTAGAGCCAGACAACAGGAGGATCACTGACAAATGCAGAGACGGACAAACTGAAAGGCT